TCTTGGAATTCAAGTTGAAGAGACAGAGAAAGAAAAAGAATGAAATTACATCAATCGAAATATCTTACTAATTTATTGGCAAAGTTCGGTATGGATCAGTGTAAACCGGTTGCAACACCTGTTATCAAGGAGCAAGTTGCTACCCAATCAAGAAGAGTCAGTTGAAACTACTAAGTATCAAGCGTTGATTGGAGGATTGACATATGCAGTTACTGGAACAAGACCTGACCTTGCACAAGCACTGGGAATGGTAAATCAATTTTGTTCGAAACCCGGAAAAGAACACTGGATAGCTGCAAAACGTATATTGCGATACGTCAAAGGAACAATTGATTACGGAATTGTATATGATGGAAAAGAAGTTGATATAGACTTAAAGGTTATGTTGATGCAGATTGGGGAAGTAATCCAAATGGAAGGAAATCGCAATCAGGATATCTGTTTACTTTATGTGGAGGAGTAATCAGTTGGGCTAGTAAAAGCAAAGTGTCGTAGCACTTTCATCAGGAGGCAGAATATGTTGCTGCATCTTTGGCTTCTCAAGAAGCAATGTCGCTACGTGCACTGCTTTCAGACTTAAGTTTTGTTCAAAGAAAACCCACTCCGATTAAAGAAGATAATCAAGGAGCTATAGCATTATCCAAAAATCCAAAGTATCATCCTCGAACCAAGCATATCGATATCCAATGTCATTATATCCGTGATAGAGTATCTAATAAAGAAATACGTCTTGACTATTGTCCTACAGATGAAATGCTAGCAGATTTGCTGACCAAACCATTAGGGAAGACGAAATTTCAAAGTATGAGAGAACTCATGAAGGTTAGAAGAACTCTTTAAATGTTTAATTGATTAGTTACAGTTCATATTTTTCGAGAGGGAGTGTTAAAGATTATACTGCATCACTATACGAAAAATAGAACGCTAGTTCGTATTCACATATATAGTTCAGTCTATTTAGTCACGTGATATTTTTGTATATATAAACTATTGACATTCCTCTGAGTCGTTCGTTACGATTATAGTTTTGTATTGAATCTTCTTATTTAATTAGCTCACTACATCAAATAAAAGTTTGCTCAAACCGAATGATTTTGCTAAATACTAACAAAAGTAAACAGAACTTCAGGAATGAACAGTTCAATAAGTCATATGAATATTCAACCGTCAGGCCAATTTTCACGAATATTTATACAAAGTCGTACTTTATGGGCTTGTCTAAAAATTGGAGAATCTGGATGGTATACTTTGTAGGACTATCTACTGTAGAAGCAACGGTATTTGATCATGAAACGGCTCTTATGAAGCATTTGCACTTCTTGTAGATCCTGGAACTTACAGCATATGCTTATCTTGAATACAGCCTTTGTGATGAGCTGCGTGAGCCACCCGAAACTGGTTTAAAATGGGTAAGTTTTATCGTAAATTATTGATAATGAGTCATGGAAGTATTATTGTTTGTATAACAGACGATTATATCCTAGAGGTTTTAATTGGTCACCATGCTGGAGGAAAATTCACGGAAAATTCTAATCGTTATTTGCATGATTGAGAATTATACTTTGTTGCTATTTAAAGTTTTATGCTTATAGCTTTATGTATTTATTAATTTTTTATCATAGAACTGTTCAATTCAATTATTACATTAAATTAATTTCTCATAAATTCAAAAAAGTCAAAATTTCATTCATAATTGTACTTGATTAATTATGATGATAATTTGTCAATTATCGTCATCATTATCTTAAACATAACTGCTTCAGACTTTAATATTTTTAAACAATGATGCTGGATGCCGCACTCAAGTACTGCTATTTATGCAGTGCTATGTTATAAGATCTACACATACAAATTTACTCAACTAGTCTTCATGAGCATGTATTGAATAATCCAGTAAGATACTATAGACTGCCAGATCTGTTTTATTTAAGTATTGCAGAAGCATGATTATAAAAGCTTCATTCAATTGAAAGATTTTCGCTAGAATATTTCAACTCATCCATCAGTGAAGCAAAAATTTTTCGTGCTGAATACACGCGTAAATGCATGATGTATCTCGATTATAATCAAAGCAACAAAGTGCAATCATCAACGGTTATCGGCCCAAGAAATGCTGCCTTCGTTGTTGTCGAAGGTTATTGCGCAATGCATGATAATACTCTACAATAAAAGAGAATAAAACTCATAGAAAAAGCAGCTTACTAACTAAGCAAAGCGTTGACAAGAACTAAAATAGTGGTACATTTACAAATTTTAGGAAATGGTCAGGTAGAAATCAACCGGAAGGAGTACTTGGAGACATTGATCATTATCTTCATGAGAGTTACATGCAGCAAAGACAATTCGTTTTGAAGTACTCAAACGAATGTACACCTGAGAAAACTAATCGCAAGTACGTCTTAATGGTTTCATTCTAAAGTTCTATAATTTCATTTACAGTTCTATAGTTCTACATTCTACGGTTCTATAATTGGTCATTGCTAAAATCTACAAATCATACAAGAAAGAAAAGCTTGAGTTTGTTAAAAGTTTTCTGATTTTTCTTTAATTTTGGCAATTCATGCATTACTTCATACTTATAGAAATGCCAACTATTCTAGGATCAACTAACATTTATTTAACAAAAGATAACATATATGTTGTCTATAGATATGGATACACGGGTATGACGTCAATTATGATAAAAATCAAAAAAAGTAACCACAAGCCGCCGGGTTGAATGACATCTTACCCTTGTATCTATAACTGTTTAAAAACAGTTAAATGTTATCTATTTGATTTATATAATAAAATCAAAATAAAATACAAAAAAGAACTGTCAAAATGTTTATTTTCTTTGTCCCCCAACACATGGAACATTGAAAAGTCTTGATTTTGAAAATATCACGCTTACATGATCTATAGGACTAAAGAAATACAGAAAGAAAGATCTATAGGCTATCTCAATCACGTGATGAAATGTGATTGGCTAAAAAAAACAAGCAATGGCTGATCAATTTTGTTGAAATTTTGCTATCGAAGACGATGTACAAATCAGTACCTGAAAACCGGGTTTTTGATCAAATACGTTCGTTGCTTCATCTAGGCATTCTAATATCCTTATTTGCCATTCAGGGATAAATTAAGGTTCATATCAAATTAATTCTCCGCTCGTTTGTCATTTATATCAAGAAATTTTCTATGACGTCCATTCCGCGCGTCTGTCCTCTTATGGATCATAGCCTTGACCAAAGAAATTGCTCAAATTCTTCTGGTTATTATATAAAATAACAGCAGTTTTGAGAGGTGACAACAATCTCATGGCTCATAAGCACTTATTAGAGATTACGGAAATCCCACTCTGTGTGATTGATTTGCATGACCGAGTCGATGTAATTCATACAACTTCCAGGTTCATCTTGAAAAGTATCTTGCTTCTAAGAAAGTTTTAAAGAAATTCTGTCATAATGTGATCAAATACTCAGATTTCAAGGAAAGTGTTACCATGTTAACTGAAAATTTTATAAAACTACAAAGTGTTTAAAGAGTAAAAATAATGGAATGTAAATATGAAGAAAATTACGCGCAGTGCCTTGATGAATCATAAGTTTTCTGCTTTTGAACTAAGTTATAGTATCAAGTTGTTATTTGATTTCTCGTTAACTTTACAACGTATGTGCTTGACATAGACGAAAGAACTGAAAACAAGGTTATTATTTGAGATGAAGAAACTTTATTTTTTGTCTAAATGCTAAAATAAAGCTATTTCATAAAAAGTATAAATGTAGTATAATAAACAATAATAAAATGAGTCATTATGTCGTTCTTTGGATTGGTTAGCAACAACCCAAAAGATTTTCAGTATAAAAAGGAAAAAGTATGTGGATTAAAGAGCTCACTCAGTTACGAAGCCACTTTTTTGTGCTCACATTTCAATTCACATTTATTTTTCAATAGAAAGGAGCTTATTTAAAATAATATACTTTGAATGAAAATTTGTTGCTGTTAATTGATAGTGATTTAAAATCACATAAGCAGATAACAGCCGAGATTTTGACATGGTTTTTCAAAAAAAATGTAGCTCTCCGCAGCAACCAATGAAATAAAAAAAACGGGAATAGGTCAGGATTATAACACCAATATCAGGGCCCGTTGGTTAAGTTACATCTAGATACCACAGACTAAATTATCTCAGTTGTTTTTCAAGTGTTTTGAGTATTTTTTGTTAATTAACTACTTGTTCTATAACTTCGTTATTAAACAATTCAACGAGTTCCTCTATAACTGGGATAGAAAAAATTCCATGACAAATCACGTAACCATAAGTACAACGGATTCCGTAACATGGAGCGTTTCTTAAAATTTTTTGATAATTTTTTTCCTTCATGTAACTCATAATGAAACTTTGGTGAATTCAACAAACTGCAAACGTGTTTGTCGTTGCATGTCCGAAATTTATGGAAGATGGGAAAAGATACGTGGAAACCATTCAATATATTAGGTAACACTTGGCACTTCGTAACAAAAATTATGAAGTTGTATTCAGATGCACAATGTATTTTCAAAAATGTTGAATTCTTTTAAATGATCAGTCAGTCGCGTATATGTCAATTGGTTTGTTTATACGTTTCTTGCAATGAAAAAAGTCTTTTATGCATTAATGTACATTATTCATGATTGTTTATTTGTTTTCTATATTTAAATAATCAAATTCTTTCGTTATACAATTGTTTATGCTGATAATTATTTTTGGAAATATGAAATGCTAAATTTAACGGTAAACATATATTCCAAAAGGAAAAGATTGGGGATTGCATCTAGAAGCCTCAATAAAAAGTGCAGTTTGCATAATAAACTGCTCTGACTGCCACGCCTCCCATTTTTGGAGACTGGCAAAGACAGAAACGTAACATTTACGTAATACAAACGATCTACAAAGAAACAAGACAAAGCAATCACAATGTCCAACATCACCGACTGACAAAATATAATATTGACTGAGACTTGGCAAAATGTATTACTTATAGCACTGACTGCTGAGATCGGCTAAAGTTAGAAACTTGGTATACCGGACTAAAAACAAAACTCACTGAACAGCTCACAACCATTGCTGGCACATTACAAACGACTTATTCACAACCTCTAAGAAACAAAGAACTAAACACATTACTTTAGATGAAACCTCAATTCACGATTGATAACAACACATTTTTTTCTACCCACAGTATGATAACGTTTGAACCAGGCAACAAATACGGGGAACCTGACTTTTACTCATCTCTTGACGCTGCAGTTGACTGCCGCTGAGGTTTCGAACCGTCAGTCAACATACGTCAGCCTTCTCAGGACTTGCCTAACCTGGGTGATCTACACTTACAAACATCTATCGATACTCCAGAGTTCAAGCCATTCACAATAAAACTGTTGTACTCCATTAAATTTTAAAATTCCAAAATAATGCAAAAAATGTTAAACGTGTACCCGCATGTTTCTCCATTATTTAATCGAATTATTTGCTGTGATTGACAAAGCTTTAGTTAAAAAGGCCCAGAATTTGAAGTATTTAATGCGCTTATGGCTACTTAGATGAATATTTGATAGGCATTGTAAAGCTGCTAGCTCGTATTTTGATGCTGTATAGTTAGCAAAAACTAGTTCAGTGGAGGCTCATACAAGACTTTAACCTCCATTGTGCTTGTATTGATAACACTAACGCTCTTTTTCGCTTTCTTTTTTAAGGTAATCGCAATATCAACCGGAATATCTCCGAACAAAAACAAAGTGCAAAGAAAGGCACACTATGGGTATATGGAGATTCAATTGCTACTCGATTTAGGAATTCTATAATAAATAAAGATTTGTGTCATAAATCGTTTAAATCATGCAATCTTACTCAACAATGGGTATATCCATTAGCAGACAAACCTTTCAATGGAAATGACAATTTGGACTTTCGGCCTCCTCTTGTTATCGATTTCATCAAAGATGTTTTGCGTCTTGATGATATGAAGAGCGAGGAGAACGTTTTAATACTGAATTTTGGGCTTCATTATGTACCTCATATCAACCTTGCAACATTCCAGAGGCTTGTCAATGGCGCTATAGCTATGCTAATAAAAAGCAGAAAGGAGCTTGGAAGTAGGGCTAGAGTGATATGGAAAATAACAACAGCAATCAGGGAGGAGAAAGATTTTCGACAAAAAAGAAGAACGTCTTGGAGATTTTTTACTCAACGGGTAAATCTTTATCTTTTGATATTGTATTTAAGCATTTGCTGAAATTGGACTGTTGTTTTATATTAGGAATTTTAAAAAGAAAGAGCATTGATAGAAAAACATATTAAAACATTTAACGAAAAACATTGGTATTTTTATTTTGAGTAACTTTGCAAATGAAAGACGAGCAAAATAAGAAGAATGAAACTAGTGACCGAGTTTTTTTTCATCATTTCTCTCCGCCAAAGCGCTTGCGAGAAAAATGACGAAGCAATGCGCTTCGGGTACATGTAAAAAGATGAATTGCAATCCATATTTTAAGAAACTACTGATTCAGTATGTTTTTATTTTTCAATTTGAAAATACTGATACAATGTTTTTATTAGTTCCCAATGCCAATAAGCTTGCCATACAATTATTTGTAATGTATTGACTACAAATCGCAGATGGCAAAAGCAGCTGTCTTTTCAGCATATGAAGTGTCTCCACGATGACAGTACGCACACACTATAAGCCAAAGCAAACATTTCTCTGGCGAGCGGTTTGGCGCTAAGAACGGATAAATAAATACACGATCATCATTTTCATTCTTTTTTATCAAGTTTGGATATTGAGAACTGTTGTTACAAATACAACAAATGCATCACGTTTTAGCCATGTTTTCGGACTACTGTTTGTATTCACATTTTCTACCGTCGATTATAATTGACTGTAGAAGCCACACATATTACTTACAGAGCCACTCTTATTTATGAAGACATAGAAACATGATTGCATCATAAAACTGCAAAAATAACATTTTAATAGTAGAAAATTTTCATACAAAAACAGTCAACGTTTACGCCGTATAACAATGTATGGTATAGCTATTCCAATGTACGTAGTGTTTACAGTTTTTACCACGTGATTTGCGAAAATACTACCCATGCTTCCTATTGGCGAAGTGGTGGATTTCTCCTACACCTGATTCTTAAAATATCTTGTACATTCAAAACCTCTACTAATATATATCAGAGAATTTCTCAGTTATGATTAGTTAAGGAGAATGCCGTTTTTTGCAAATACCAGTACAAAAATATAAAATATCAGTGCAAAAAAATGAAACACCAGTTCAAATTTTTTTAAAAACTCTTCTGGATTGATCAGTTGAAGAAAGAATTAAGTAGCTAATCAAAAGACTCAAAAACAAATCATTTCGAAGGCTGTAAAAAAATTATTGTAAAAAAATCAATACAACAGTTCGTGTAAATTTTATGTAGATTTTCTTTGTCAACACATAGTTACAGTTCAGCTTTTCAAGACATTTAAAAAAATAAAAACGCCTCTAAACAAAGGTAGCTTATTTGGTGATCGTTTTTGGAAGCAAAGCCTTTTCAAAAAACGACATCTGCTAAAATGGACGTAGGTCAAAGATAAAACTCAAGGAATTTTTTTCCTGGTCGTTGTCAAATTTTATTGAAACTCATTTAATTGTGCATGTCTTTTTTCCTTTTTAAACTCGATACCATGCTATGAGTATATTTAATAGACGGGTTTCGAGTGCAATTCGAGAAAAACATGCAATAATGATATTTTTAAGACTATCAAAATCGCAAGAGTCCGAAGGACGAGTCTTGAAAAACTCACGAGTGCCTGTTTTTCTAGAATTGCACGAGAGACCAATCTACTACATAATAATTATATATTTTTGTAAATGTAGATCGTCTAGGTTGGTATAGTCCTAAGAATGACTGTTTTTGTTGTTGTTGACTGACGTTTCGACAACCTTAGGGGTAGTCATCTTCAGAGTCAAACGAGGAGTAAATGTCAGATTAGCCGTATTTGTTATCTGGTTCTTACGTCATCATATTGGGGTAAAGAAAACGCGTGGGTGTGTTGGTGTAAATGGTGTATTGTCATCGTGGATTAGTGTAAAGTAATGTGTTAATTTGTTGACTTGTTTGTATTGTGAATAAGCCGTTTGTGAGGTGTTGGTAATTAATGTGATCTGTTAAGTGGGTTTTGTTCTAAGTTGGTATGCCAAATTTCTAACGTAAACCGTTGTCTCTAGTTGGTGCTATAAGTAATTCATTTTGCCAAGTCCCATTCAATGTTGTGTTTTGCCAGTTGCTTAAGTTCCTGCACGTTTCCCCGATATAGGAGGTGTGGCAGTCAGAGCAGCTTATTTGGTAACCTAACCTTGTCGTATTCCGGGTTGTTCATTGTCTTTGTGTTCGATAGTACTTGTCGTAGCGTTGGAATTAGTTTATGTGCGACACATATATTGTATGGTCGTAAGATACGTGACATAGTCTCAGACGTACCTTTGATATAATTTATCGTTGCTGTTTTCGTTAAATAGCTCGTTTTGTTGTGTTCATTAGCGTTGTAAATCTTACGTTTGATGAAATCAGAGTTATAGTTGTATTTGTCCAAAACACGTTTGAGATAGTTGTTTTTGTTGTGTAGTAACTGTAGTCATTGTGAATTAGTTCAATTGTTCAGTTTCGCACTAATTCACAATGACAATACACAATTGACACCCACACATTTTCTGTACACACAATACAATGACGTAAGAACCAGATAACAAATACGGCTAACCAGACGTTTACTCCTCAGTTGACTCTGAAGATGACTACCGCTAAGGTTGTCAAAACGTCAGTCAACAACAACAAAAACAGTCCTTCTCAGAACTACACCAACCTGGACGATCTACATTTACAAACATGTAACGATACCCCGGGTTCAAACCATTTACAATAATTACACACATGAAAAAATTTCTCAATTCTGCCGCCAAGTTATAAATATCAACCGGCTCGTATTTTTTCAATTCTGTCAAATATTGCTTTTCACAACACCATAGCTTCCACACACACCGCTAGAACAAGGTATATACTTTTAGCAGTGTTGATATTTTCATCCAGAAACACTTTGTAAACGGTGAACTGTAAACTCGTCAGCCAAAGAAAATCAACTTAAAACTTCGCCAGCCATTGTACTTGCTTTGTTACGTTAACTTAACTTTCCTGCCTTCAAAATATTGCATTATGATTGGCTCTTAGATCAATTCTTTGTTTGACTAACGAATTAGGAGCACATTTTTCGAAAATAAATTGCACTGGTGTTTCGCTTTTTTTGCACTGTTTTTCACATTTTTGCGCTGGTATTTAGAATAAATTGCACACTCTCAACCAATCAGAATCGAGAAATTTTTTCATGCATATTATTATATCAAAAACATACGCTTTCATGTTATTTTTTCACAGTAGTTATACCTGAGTTGCACTGTTGTTTTCAATATAATTCTTCAATATATGTTTCCTTTGGCAAACATCAATACAAGTATAATGCATTTAACAAAATTTGAGGAATGCTGACAATAATTTTCTAACTCCCAAGTCAATGAACCTATGCAAAAATTTATATTGAAAACAACAGCAACTTAAGTTGACAATATCAACAACAGTTTTGTTGGAATTCAAAAGCGTTTAATGCTGTTCGACGCAAATGCTATGTCAGAAAAGTGTAAGGCTGGATTTGACGTTATGGATGTGCTTCCATTGACCAAATCTTATTTTCCTGGACCTTTTGACTCATGTCATTACGTTGACAAAGTATTTAGATCGTTGGAAATGGACTTAGAACAATACTCAACAGCTGGCTTAGATTATCAACCGACAGAAGTTTGCATTGCATGGAATTGAAAGCTAATATAGGGCATATTTATACATTCATTTTCAATTGTACAAATTTACATAATTTAATGTGTATGCTTGTAAATATGCAAAACAAACTACTTTTTTTGATGTTCATAAACCATCTTCTTCCATTT